TCCCTTATTGTCAATGGTACTAGACAAGCATTCTTCAAGTCTGAAAGAGGGTTAAGACAAGGAGACCTTATCTCCCCTTCTCTTTTTGTTATTTGTGCCGACTTTCTTTCAAAAAAATTAAATCATATAACTACCCTTGAGGAGTTCAAAAGCTTTCACATGAACATAAATGGTCCTTTAATAAATCATCTTGCATTTAATGATGATGTCATTCTTTTTTCTAGTGGTTGCAGGAACTCTTTGATGATGTTGATTGAGCCATTATCAGTGTATGAAAAGGTCTCAGGACAACTAGTCAACAAGTCTAAGTCTTGCTTTATTCTAGCCCCTAATGCACATGTGGAGGAAATTTCAAGGGTGAAAAATACTACTGAGATGGAAAACAAAAGTCTTCCTATCAAATACTTGGGTTTCCCTTTGTATGTTGGAAGGAAGAAGATTTCTATTTTCTCTAAGATTATCTCCAGGATCCTGAAAATGATCTCAGGGTAGCATTCCAAGTTTCTGTCCTCTGGGGGTAGAGCGGCGTTAATTAGGCATGTCTTATTAGCATTGCCTACACATCTACTAGTTGTTATTCATCCTCTAAATGGAGTTCTCAACCAAATAGAGAGGATGCTTACCAAGTTTATTGGGGGAGGGTCGGCTGAGAAGAAAAGACATCACTGGGATTCCTGGGATAACCTGTGTTTTCCATATGAGGAAGGGGGTGCCAATTTCAGGAAACTTAATGACATCTGCAAAGTAGTGGTGGAACTTTAGAACTGGTCAATCATTATGGAAGAGGTTCCTAATGGTGAAATATTGTCAGAGAGCTCATCCACTTATAAAACAGTAATACTCTGGGCAGTCCCAGTCATGGAATGCAATGCGCAAAATTAAAAGGCTTGTGGATAAGCAAATTCTATGGAAAATTGGCTGTGGAAAGGTTGCTTTCTGGTATGATAATTGGTCCGAGTTAGGTCCATTATACAACTTTCTTCCAGAAGGTTACAAACCTAAGAATATTACTCTCTCTATTATGATGCTTAACAATCACATAAATTGGAGAGGATTAGATCTTTTGCTTTCGCAACATGTGGTGGTTAAAGTGAATACTTTTGAGATATCACTAAGATCCACAATTCCTGATAGTCCAGTTTGGACAGAGGATAATAGTGGTTCTTTTTCAGTTGCTTCAGCTTGCCAATTATTTAGAAAGAATAGGCATAAGTCATGGATTAATATGATGAATTGGCAGAAATGTGTCCCATTCAAGATGAATTTTATTGTATGGAGAGCTCTGAGAGATAAGATTCCCACGGAAGCTAAAGTAGATAAGATGGACATCCCTACTTCATCCAGTTGTTGCTGTTGTAGATTTCCAAGTTTAGAAACTATTGACCATCTTTTCTTCAGTGGCCTCTTTGCTCAGGAGCTATGGAGAATCTTGTGTGGTCCCATTGGGCATTGCATATTCAAACATCTCTTTCAGGCAACTTATGATCAACTGGTGGGGATGTAAATTCACAAATCTTGTCCATGCATTCATTGTTAAATTCCTGCCTATTATCACATCTTGGGAGATTTGGAGAGCTAGATGTAGTGCCAAGTATAACTCTATCAGGACTAATGTGAGAAGAACAATTTATCTGATTGTTTTCTCCATGTCCTAACTTGTCAATCTTCAATTCCAGCAAATTCAGTTGGTTCCCAGCTAGGAGGAGATCAGTCAGCTTTTGAGAAGTACTATCCATTTTGAGAAATCTATTATTGTTAAATGGATTAAACCGAAGTTTTCATATGTTAAATTAAACTCTAATGGTAGTTGCAAAGAGGGAAAGTGTTGAGTTGGAGGTGTGATAAGGGATTAAAAGGGTTGCCTTGTCTATGCCTACTCTTTAGTGCTTGGTTCAAGAACAAGCAACTGGGCAGAAGCAGTTGCTCTTCACTACGGCATTAAAGGGTGTCTATTTAATGGTTGTCATATTATTAGTGCTGAAAGCGACTCTAAATTATTAGTGGATTGTGTTAATGGTCGTAATACAAGTCCCTGGAATATTGCAAAGGAGGTAGAAGAACTTAAAAAGTTCATGGAGCAATCCAGATTCTCTCTTAATCACTGTTATAGAGAGAGAAATCAAGTTGCAGACAAGCTTGCATCCATCAGTCACTTTATCCCTCATTCCCACTGTTTCGAGTGTTGTCTGACCTTCCTCCTTAAGTCAAGGGCCTCATGAACATGGATAGATGGGACTTGCCGGTATTTCGAAGGACTAGACTAAAGAGAACATGCATTACCTTTGATCCTCCTTGACCATGCAGTCTTGTACAATAGGGATAGACTCTCTAGTAGTACTTTTTTGGTATAGGCTGGATCTCCTTCTTCCAGGCACATAGCTTGTGTAATGTTTCTCATATGCATTTACTTAATCTCAATTGTAAAAGTTGGCATCTGCTATCTTAAAAGGGTGATATAGAGAGTTAGCTAGTTTATCTATACTCCCTCATCTCAATGTATCTTTTTTTGGAGAGGAATAAAATGCACAGTTTATTTAAAAAACAAATTCTCAATTGTCTACAGCCACCACAGACAGAGAAGTCGTCAGTCTCATCTCTCTCTCAATGATTAATACGTGTATGTATGTATGAGTAGTCTTGATGGTATTAAAAATTTGGTTAATACGTGTATGACAGTATGAGTAGTCTTGAAGACTCTTCAATTAAAAAATACCGTTTTGTTAGATCTTAGATGGTAGTATTAAAATTTTGGTATTGATTTGAAACTGTTTGGTATTGATTGAATAATTATTCAAAAAAATCTATTTGGTTTAGCCGATAAGTCATCTGATAACCGCCCAATAATTGTTAATCTGATACCAATTCGCTCGTTGTCTTATTGGATGGCTAGCGGATTACTATATTTATAATCCGATAATTATTAAGTCAAACCGTTAAGCGTAATTATCCGCTTGATCCGCCCGATAAGCACCCCTAATTCAGATGATTAACATGAGCAACAACGTAAAGCACGACCTCTCAACTCATACTAGTGAAATTTCGCAATAAATTTGATCGAATATAATTCTGACATATACATACAAAAAACAATATTTTTTTATACTGTGTAATAACCTGCAAACCACACAGAGGATGTAAACCGCACTTGGCAAGCCCTGTGCGACAGGCTTAACCCAGAAGGCATTGAGAGGGAAATCAATCTCAGGTCATCCGTATGGATAACCACCCTCCAAACCAACTGGGCAACCCCGAAGAGTTTATATTGTATTTTAACATGTGGTAATATATTATTTGTCTTTTCTAAGTTGCCAATTCTTTTTACCGTTGGCAGAAATTTGTATCTTTTGGTTAGAGAGCAATAACTATCCAATTAGAACAGTCATACAAAGCCATATTATCCATACCCTAAACAAGAAATCAGGAACTGTTGATGCACACTAATGAAATCACACAAGTAATATATCTCATCAAGTGTACAACAACAACAACCCAGTATAATCCCACTAGTGGGGTCTGAGGAGGGTAGTGTGTACGCAGACCTTACCGCTACCATGAGGTAGAGAGGCAGTTTCCAATAGACCCTCGACATCCTTCCCTCCAAGAACTCCCCACCTTGCTCTTGGGGTGACTCGAACTCACAACTTCTTGGTTGAAAGTGGAGGTTGTTTACCATCAGAGCAACCCCTCTTGTCTATATCTCATCAAGTGTAACTATAGAAAATTAACAACTTACCTACGGAAAGCAATACATAGTCCTAGTTGGGCCAACGTTCAACGCAAATTAGGCAGGACTCGTCAATTATCTTAATCACAACAAAACATAATGCAGTCTCCAGACACACCAACTATAATGACAAGGCATAGAGGAACTATGCCACTACGATGTCCAAAGGCGTCTCAATAAAACTTGTTACCTAAAGCTAAATTTTCATAAAGGGCCTTAATTTTTTTTGTCTATAGTATAGTTATCTTGTAAAATATAGTATAAATATTACATTGGTACAAATATATTATGGTCATATTAATATTATATTTTGGTACAAATATATTACATTGGTACCTTCTTCCTCCTCGTCTTTATAGTCATATTAATACTACATTTTTATAAGAATTTTGATTTTTTTTTCTATAAATTTCAATATTGTCTAAGCGAAAATAAGATAGTAAATCCATAATTAAAAATATTTTTTGGGGCCCAAAATTTAGGGGGCTTAATGCAAAGGCTTTACTAGCCTGACGATGTCACATGCAAAACGGGAAAAAAAATCCAAACCCTAAAGAAGATTTTAAAAATGAACAGTACCCACTATTGCATAACAACACTCAAAAATTCTCCACAAGTTGAACTAGTTAAGCTTCTTGATCTTCTTCCTCCCCGTCTTCATAGTCATACGCATCCTCTTCAGTTGTCGCATCTTGATATTGTTGGTACTCACTGTACCTTCTCCGGTGTATAGTTATATTGTAAAATATAGTATTAATATTACATTGGTTTCTTTTATTCCTTCTTTCTTTTTGTCTATAATATAGTTATCTTATAAAATATAATATTAATATTTACATTGGTAAGAAAATTCAAGTTAAAAAGATGTTAGCCACTTATTTACAATTCATTATCTTAGATTTTATTGTAAAAATATTATTTATCAATATGACGATTAGAGTATCTTAATTCAAAATTCTAAAATATTTTTATTGTTCAAGAATATTTCTATTGTTCAAAAATAGATAGTCTTTCTTTTCATTTTTATAAGGATATTGCATTTTTTTTCTTTTTTCTATAAACTTCAATATTGTCTAAGCGAAAAAAAGATAGTAAATCCATAATTAAAAATATTTTGGGGGGCCCAAAATTTAGGGGACCTAAAGCAAAGGTTTTACTAGCCTCCCCTTGAGCCACTCCTGACGATGTCACATGCAAAACAGGAAAAAATCCAAACCCTAAACAAGATTTTAAAAATGAACAGTACCTGGCACCCAAAATTTCTCCACAAGCTGAACTAGATAAGCGTCTTGACCTTCCTCCTCGACTCGTCTTCATAGTCATACTCATCCTCTTCAGCTGTCGCATCTTGATATTGTTGGTACTCAGAAACTAAATCATTCATGTTGCTTTCAACCTCTGTAAACTCCATCTCATCCATAGCTTCTCTGGTGTACCAATGCAGGAAAGCTTTTCTTCGAAACATTGCTGTAATTTGCTCATTGAAGCTACGGAACATCTCTTGAATTGAGGTGGAATTGCCAATGAAAGTTGAGGCCATCTTCAGTCCAGTTGGAGGGATGTCACAGACAGTAGAGTTCACATTGTTAGGAATCCACTCAACAAAGTAAGAAGAGTTCTTGTTCTGTACATTAATCATTTGCTCATCAACTTCCTTGGTGCTCATTTTCCCCCGGAACATTGATGAAGCAGTCAGATAACAACCGTAACGAGGATCAGCGGCACACATCATGTTCTTTGAATCCAACATCTGCTGAGTGAGCTCGGGAACAGTCAGGTTTCTGTATTATAGTGACCCGCGAGAAGTGAGCGGAGCAAATCCAACCATGAAAAAAAAAAAGCAATCGGGGGAATAGGATGAGGTTAACAGCAAGCTTGCGGAGATCAGAATTGAGCTGACCAGGGAATCGGAGGTAGCAAGTTACACCACTCGTGGTGGCAGAAATCAAATGATTAAGGTCTCCAACTGAGGCAAACATTATGAGTCAGTACATTAATCTGCAAATATCCACATAATACAATCATGTAAAAATAGCAGATTCAACAGAATCTCAAGTCCAGGATAGAAAGAAACTCTGATTATGAGCCACGAAGACAAAAGAAAAGAAATAAAATGCAGTGTTCACATTAATATAAGTGTAGGCACATAATATTTATTGGATTTAAATTCAATAAATAATTTGGATGATATTTTAAATATACTAGTCCAAATAAATATTATGGGCTGATATAATTAAATTAATTATATAAATCCAATATATATGGATTAAATAAGTAAATCTTAATCCATTGGGCTAGCCCGTTTAATTGGACTAAAGTGATGAGCCCACTTCATTAAGCCCAAGATATCATCTTCCTAGAGGCCCAGTTTGGTGTCACGTGTCAAATGACTTGGCACGCCAAGTCAAACGAAAGAGTCAATAGGATCATGCCACGTGTCAAAATGACAAGGCATGCAAAGTCACATTAAAAGGCTAATAAAATCGCGCCACGCCTGCAAGTGACATGACCTTGTCACGATTTGATTGGTCGAAAAGAATTTGTTATTATCATAACTCTTCTCTCCTACAACTATAAATAGGGTGTTCATAACTCAGAAAAGACACCATAAGTTATAACAAGAAGCAACAAAGAACTCGTAGATCAAACGCTGCAAATTCCTCCACAAGTTTCAAGCTTCAAGCAATCAAGTTCAAGTTCAAACAATCAACCTCAAACTCAAGAACGAAGAACAAATCAAGACTCAAGGAATACAAGTTCAAATCAAAGTTCGTGCTAGTTGAATTCAAGATCATCGTTCGTGACAACAAATATAGGTTCAAGATCAAGCTCAAAAGCTCTTGAATTTATATTGAAAAAGTAAAATCAGAGGATTTATACAAATTGTAGCACTCAAATATTTGAAATAAAATACTACGATTGTTGCAATATTTTTCGGTCTTGATTTTATTTTCTCGACTCAATTTATTGCCTACAAATTCTGGCACGCCCAGTGGGACAATCTCTACCTCTCATCTCAACTTTTCAATCATCAAAGTTCAAGAACATTAAAATGGCTTCAAAGAAAATCAACTCCAGCTCAACTTCCACCAAGGCTGCTAATTCCAAGTTCTATGCTGATGTAGAAAGCATCCTCGATGTTACCTTTGGAAGTGGACTGGTTACGAGGAGCAAAGCAAGCTCGTTAGGACAACAAGCACCCCAAGTGTCGCCCGCATTAACTCCTATTTTCGGATCTTCATCTTCAAAAGGAGAAAGATCTTCCACAAACGTACCTGAAGGAGGAAGCGATGTTGCTGAAAAGATCAAGAAAACTCTTGCTCTGCTTGACCTCTCCGGATCCAAGAATTCGGTTGTGAAGGAAGACGATGATGCTTCAAGTGATGGATCCTCCCCACTTACACAGCGTAGCGTGAGCCATTCGAGAATCAATCTGTGTGACAATCCATGCTACTCCCCATCATCTACAACAATCATGCAAGCCATGGTGACAAACACTTCATCTATGGAAGAGCAGTTGGCGAACTTGACGGAAGCAATCGCTGGCTTGACCAAGTGCATACAAAATCAAGATGCTAGAATTGACAAGCTAATAGACAGGGTGGGAATCTTGATGGAAGAAGAATCCACCCATGCAACTGGCAAGCTCCTAGAAGTTCCAGAGATTGATTCTCCCTCGATACGAGTAGCATCCGCTAAGGCTATCCCTGTCTCATCTGAAGGGATGATTCCCATCGATCAACTGAAGGAGTTCATTGAAGGAACTATTAAGAATAAATATGAAATTGCTGCCAAGTCATCCCTTACATACGCAAAGCTGTACACTGCAAGGATCGATATGTTAAAGATGCATGTTGGCTATCAACCTCCAAAGTTTCAACAGTTTGATGGTAAAGGCAATCCAAAGCAACATGTGGCGCACTGCGTTAAGACATGTAACAACGCTGGGACTTATGGAGATTACCTTGTCAAACAATTTGTCCGCTCGCTAAAAGGAAATGCTTTTGATTGGTATATAGACCTCGAGGCGGGGTCTATTGATAGCTGGGATCAACTGGAGCAAGAGTTCCTCAATCGCTTTTATAGCACAAAGGCGCACTGTGAGCATGGTGGAACTCACAAATACTCGTCAACGAAAGGGTGAACGAGTTATCAACTTTATCAATCATTGGAGGAACGCAAGCATCAACTGTAAAGACAGGCTTAGTGAACTTCTGGCATAGAGATGTGCATCCAAGGCATGCATTGGGGATTGCGTTAAATCTTGCAAGGTATCAAACCTAGCACATTCGGTCTTGATTTTATTTTCTCGACGCAATTTATTGTCTACAATAAGTATATGCAATGAGATATTAATTTGGTTATGTTGTGCAATCTTCCACAAAGTCGCTGAGCAGCTAAATTAGTTGAGCAGTTAAATTGACATAGTTTCTTTCACAAACTTCTTTTTTGGTACATAACCTTTCCAATTCATAAGTGCCAAATTACATACCAACAAATCCAGATAAACAACATTCTGTAAGCCCAGATAATTCACCAATAAACTCTATTGTTGGTTTATCCATACGTTGATCAAGCTATAAACCCAAATATCAGACCCCAACCAATTCATTTTCCCCAAATGTCCAATCATCTGAACTAAGCTAACATGCCCATTATAGTCTCTTCCACCCCCAGATTTTTCCCCTAAATCACATTATATAATTAAGGAGATTTCAGAAAAATGAAGCAACGTTATGATCACAAGCATGCATTGGCTGATAACATATCCATCGCCCTTCCTCGGTTCATCCCCATAGCAAGCTTCCTATTGGCTTCTCACCCCGGATTGAGACTCACTCTTCTCGTCCAGAAGAATAGTTGTCTTCCTACTTAACTAGTCATTGGTCTTTGGCACCAAAGAAAGTCGAGAAGGTTGGGACGCAAGGTGGTTGTCGCTCAAGCAACTGTGGAAGCAGACTCCGTGAAAAAGTCGTGTGCATCAAAGAAAAGAAATGGAAGGGCTCTCCCTCTCTATCTTGAACCTAGCTCTGCCCAGTTTGGATGAACAAAGTGCGCAATGCGTGGAGTGAGATCACTACCATACCTTTTTCAATTNTGGAAGGGCTGATAACCACTCCACATCTAACATACTGATGAATTAGAAGCTCAAGAACAAATAGGATATACCAGACATAAACAAGCAAGAAACAAGTCAATCATGCCCTCATTCCATGCTGTCATGTAAATCATTTAATACTAAAGGTAGTGCATGAAATAAAACAACCAAAACAACACAACTGTAAAACTGCATCAGAGAAACTATTTCTGATCAAAGAAGACAACTTACAGCTCGGGGTAGTAAGTTTGAGAGTTCGGAAGCAAATGTCATAAAGAGCTTCATTGTCCAAGACCATACACTCATTTGCATTCTCAACAAGCTGGTGAACAGAGAGTAGCATTATAGGGCTCAACAACAGTGTCTGAAACTTTCGGGGAAGGGAACACAGAGAAAGTAAGCATCATTCTGTCCGGGTACTCTTCCCCTATCTTAGATATAAGTAGAGTTCCCATTCCTGATCCAGTTCCACCTCCCAAAGAGTGACAAACCTGAAAACCTGAAATTGAAAACAGAGTCCACATTCATAGGCTTTACAAAGCAGAAAATTTACTTGGACGCTATTCCATTTACTGCATATACTGCAGATAATCAGTAAATTATAACAACCTCAAACTTCACTTCTCTTCGAGGCCTAACAAGCATTTTTTTCAAGCAGGGAGTGGATATATCAGTTTCTACACTTCTATATTTAAAAGGATTTAAATTATATACAAAGATAGTGTAAAAATTTGTTTATACACAATTAGTGCATATAACTTAAACTCAATTTAAAATTGCACTATTTTTACAAGATCAAAATTATTTCCTGCCAAGTTGAATATACATGCAATTTCCACATACACACACACAAAAATCTACTGAAATATATGTTAGCATACTAAACTCAAAAAGGAAATTGAAGCATATAACACGAAAAGCAACAGCCAAATTACCTAGTAAGCAGTCACGGTTCACAGCCTCCTTCCTCACAACCAGGGGCGGCTCTAAGGCTTTGGGTCCCAAAATTTATTTTAAATTCTTATTATTATTGTTACTATTATATATTATATAATTTATATAAATAATTAGAATAAAGAAAAGTGTTACAGTATATTTTTTGTTAGTTGATTGAGGTTATTTTATACAATAAATTTATAAATTATGATAATTTTTTCCCCTCATTAATTAGTATATTTGACAAGAGTGGGTTGCTCCAGTGGTGAACACCCTCCACCTCCAACCAAGAGGTTGTGAGTTCGAGTCACCTCAAGATCAAGGTGGAGAGTTCTTGGAGGGAGAGAGCCGAGGGTCTATCGGAAACAACCTCTCTACTCCAGGGTAGGGGTAAGGTCTGCGTACAAACTACCCTCCCCATACCCTACTAGTGGGATTATACTGGGTTGTTATTGTTGTTGTTGTTGTTGCTTCACTTTTCAATTTTAATTTTATCTTTTATATATAGGAATTAAGTTATATATATCGACAACATAATAAATTTCTTTTATAATGTTCTCTGAAACAACATGAACACAAAAGCATTCATGCACCAACTTTCTTTTAGTGTAATTTGACATATTATATTACGT